GGGGGAGAAATTTTCTTTTCCCGGGGTAGGCCCCCGGAAAGGGGGTTTTTTCATCAAGGGTCAAAAAAAAAAGGGGGGGGGTTTCCTGCCCGGAAAAAATTTCCCCGGGATTTTCCCCCGGAAAGGGGGGCCTTGAGGCCCCCCAGGGGGGGGGGGGGGCGGGCCGGCCGAAAAAAAAAGGGTTATTATCCGGGGTTTAAGGACAAGGGGGGGGGCCCCCCCCCCCGGGTTGGGGGCGGGGCCCAAAAAACCCCCCCCCCCCGGGCCGGGTTTTTAAAGGGGGCCATTTCCCCCCGGAGAAAGAATTAAAAAAAAAAAAAAAATTTTTTGGAAAATTAAGTTTTTTTTGGAAAACCTTTGGGGGAGGGGTTTTTTCGGACCCCCCCATTTTTCCCCAGGCCACACACTTTTTGTGGGGAAAAAATGAAGTTTAAAAATTCGCCCCGGGGGGGGGGGGGGGGGGGGGTGATATCTGGCGTCACCTAAGGTAGGTGACAACCTTCCCACGTTGGGAACGCGAGAGACAGAGGATACCCCCCTCCTGTTACATAGTTCCGAAAGTGCAACACCCCGCCCCAGCGACCACTTCGCTTCGCGGATTCGCGAGTTCGGCGTCTCTCGATCTTATAGAACCGAACCCCTAGAGTTAATACGGGGGGTGGCGGGGGGGGAGGGGGCTTTGACCGTGCGCTTGCACTAGCGCATCACAACTGTCACGCCTGAAACAGGAGGGAGGTGAAGGGAGAACAACATAAGTGAGAGAAGACGCAACCCCCCGAGTACTGTACCTCCTTGATGTCCACCACGTGAGCGACCCCGTCGGCCGTAAGCGCCATCGCACGCGGGTACTTTCCGGGTAACATCTGCACGGGGGGGGGGGGGGTATGGGGCGTAAAAGACGCGGTAGGCGGAGGGGGCGCACTCGTGTTGTGCATGCGATGGATGCTAGAAGACCATTGACCACGCGTCCTCGGAACAACGGGACATGCGCGAAAAGGGCGGGGGGGGGTAACGGGAGGTAAGAGACACGAAACGCATTCTATGCTGACTTGCAGAGGGGGCAGGCAACGGTATGTTTCCTCCCAACACGAAGGGCAAGCTTATCAGATACCAAACGCCACGACTCTCTCTCTCTCTCTCTCTCTGCAACCCCCCAACCTCACGGCGAATCGCCGCTTTATTGATGATGTGATAGCCTGGTCCGGCGAACACCCGGCGCGCTCCGTGCCGGCTTTACAGGGGTGCGAGGCCAACGGTCTAACATCTACGGCATGCACGGCAATGAGTACACCCCCCCCCCGGAGCACACAACGGCCAACGGGCCACTCAGGCACGATCTCAACGGCCACTTCTTCCTCACCAGAGCCGACATGATGGGCGAGTCCAGGCAGATGACCCGGATAAGCTCCGGCCTGGGCGGCTCCAGCGCCCAGTAGTGCAGCCGCTGGTCGTGAGAGGCCGACAGCAGACGACGACCGCCCCTTGCCCAACTGAGAGCCGTGATGGCTCTGGCGTGCGCCTCTACCACGCGGCCGATGCCTCTTTTCGAGTAACAAGCAGCATCGGCAAAGTGGAAGTGTCAGTAGGAAGTGCCGGTTCGACCCCGGCGGGAAAAAAATGACGACACCGCTATTTTGCTGTGGTTTGAGGTGTGACCGTGCGTGTATGAGTCCGCCGTTTCGTCCCGCCATGTCGGGGCTCGAGGGTGTGTGTGGGAATGTAAACTGCACGCGAAGGTGGTCGTGGTCGTTGTTGCTGTTGCGGATGTTATTGCCGTTGTTTAGTGTTTTCGTAGCTGATGGTGTTGGTACTGTTGCTGTCTTGCCGTACAAAAAACGTTCCGTTGTCGGCTCGAGTCTGGCATCCGCACAGATCAATCAAGCTGACTCGGACGTCACTTGGGGGTGTCGCGCGTTTTTAGCTGTGTCTGTTTCTTGCTTCATGGGACGGGCGTGAGTCAAGGAGAACGCAATGGCAAATCACAACGCCTTTCTGTATCGTCGACATGGATTCCCGCTATCCTTTGTCCGTAGTCCGAATACATGAAAGTACGCTTTCCGGACCAAGTGTTGCAAACAAAGAGTGTGGCACGCTTCAGTGCATGCCAAAACCCCAACACGAGTCTTCCCCAGCCCATGAGAAACCACAGATACACACACGCTCCAACACCCCTCCCAGAGCAAAAAAAACAACACGAGAGCAAAACACTCACGAAAGCCAACCCCGACAACACTCACTAAATTAACAATGAACCGGCACACCACCCCGGAGCGGACCCCACTAACCTGGTAACAAAGTCCCAGATGACTACGATCCCCGTCGCGTATCCCACCGCCAGGTAGGCCCCCCTCTTGCCGAAGCAGCATACCGTGGCGTCCTCCACGCCGTAGCTCAGGACGGAATCCACATGGTCCGGGACGGTTTTGGCGAACGGGTCTATCGCAAGACGGGTTCGGCAAGGGGGGAACAGGGGAATACATAGGTGCACAAGTCAACGACAGCGAACGAAACGCGGAATTTTTCGCTGACGCTATGGATTCATTGCTAATCTATCTTTTAGACTCTTTTCTTCAATGGAGATGGATTCGTTGGGTCATACTGCTGAAAAAAAAAAAAAAAAACTGAGACTTGCGAAACAAGACGTTCATAATACCCAGAGATTTGTGAAACAAGGCCAAAACAAAGCTCTGGTCCAAAGGTATATAGGTGCACACACGAAACTTTGCTCTGGTAGTTGGTTCGCCGGGTGCGTGTGTTTCTATTTGCTGGTGTGGAAATGCAACGATGCTAGCACATGTTAGAGCACATCCTCCGGGAGTGGCGCTGTCGAGAGGGGCGGCAGACCAGGGTGGGGGCGGCCGAAGGCAAAGACGACAGGGAGTGGGTCATGCCAAAGGTTGCGCAGAGAGCAGCAACGAGAGTATGACCTATAGGAAGGATCTGCACGACTGAGTCGGTACTACAGGTGTTCCAACGTACTGTGCTGGGAATGGCTGCGCTCCCATGTGAACGGCAGCAGCAACAACAACGCAGATGTAAGCACACTACCGCATGTTTACAGAAGATATATTTTCTTCACCACGCAGTCCGAGGTGATTTGGTCCGAGCGATACGTAGTCCATGTATCCCCGGGCAGCCCTTTCCAAAGACGAATCCCTCGCCTTTGCCAACCAATCCCAAAAGGAGTTATTGTAGCATCTGTCTTGTAACTTCGCACCGTCAAGTGCTTAACCGGTCGAGGTTGGAGGGGAGAGTCTTGTATCTAAACCGCAGCTGCAGTGCTGCACACAATGTGGAGCTCGAGCGCACTACTACATCAGGGAGAGGGAAGCGTGGAGAGTGCTGCTGCTTGCAAGGGTCGCGTGCGGATGTCAGAATAGGCAAGCGCGACAACTTCAGGTTCCCAGGCTCAAATCCATGAGAAGGGGAGGTGGACGAGAGAACGCAAGGGATGACACATTGGCGACAAAGGCTGTTGCTGTCGGTAAGTGCTGTTGCCATATGGATCTCTGCCTCATCCTGTGGAACCCAACACCCCAGGATCTCATCTAAGCAGCAGCGGATACGTCACGACTGGAGCAGCAGAAAACTCACCTAGCAGCTCGAGGTTCATGATGTCTCCAACACAAACGTGTGGGGTGCTAGCTCAGCTGTGGGATGCTCTCTACCCTCTCTGCTGGCTCTGTGTCGCTGCTGTTTCTGGGGGTGTTTGGTTTCGCCGCCAGAGGCTCCCTACATAGGAAGGTTACCCTGGGTATATGTGGTACTGCATGTAGTTCTCATCTGTCGATCCCCGCGAATTCGTTGAAATCGTCCATATGCCATCACATTCAAATCAGCGAGCCCGATCACCAGCGGTTTGACGCCGCTCACCTCCTCCTCTCTGCCTCACGCGGGAGAGTCGTGCACGCAACTAGCAGTCCGGGCTCCAACGGGGCTCCACTTATCGATCCGCGCTCTTCCCCCAGACCTTCTTCGGTGGAAATATTGTTGCAACAGCATCAAGTTTGGGAGTCAGCAAGCAGCTTTGAAAATCCATCAACATCTTTCATCTTTCAGAGATGGCCTGGTGGGGAGCGATGGCCAACGCGGCTTCAGCGGGTGCTGCCTTGGAGGACAACAGCGAAGATCCCATTGATCTCACGTCCGACACGGAGACCTCGCCATTGCCCGGTGGGGGAGCATCAGCAGCAGCGGCGTCTTCCTCGAGCAACGGCGGGAGTGGTGTCGGGATTGAATCTACTGCTGGGGGACTCAAGCTGATGGCACCGGTACGCAATGAACAACGTCTGGCTGGCTAAAATCATGTTTGTTCGTTTGTTGGGAGGTTCAGCTATACGCATTGAACAACGGCTGGCTGGCTAGTCATGTTTGTCCGTTTGTTGGGAGGTTCAGCCCTAGCAATGAAGATAGAGGAGAGGGTGTCAAGATGCGTTTGGCATGTCTTCGGCTATGGCCGCACCCCCACGCCCGCAGGGGTCTGGCGAGTAAAGACAGCAGAGATGAACAAGCCTGTTGCCTCTCGACAACGGTTTCAAAATCGGACTACAGCAAGGGTATGCATACATATGTAGTAAGGAAGAGACATCGGCGGGGCGGATTGGTAACTATGTAGCTGCGGATCGGAGAAAGTAACCACACGCCAGCAGCTGGCCTAGCGGCCGTGACATACACTTGATACGTTCTCTCTGAGACTACAACGGGACTCGCCGTGGGTTGCTGTACACAGCAAGCAAGCAGCCCATGATTTGCCACCCCCCAAGTTTTTTTATTTTTCCGCCGCTTCTCCGCCAACAAAGCTCCGCCTTCTTGTACTGCCCCCATCCGAAAGACCAACGGTTGGTGTGCACTGCTGCTGCGGCTGTGTAACCCGATCGCTGCTGCCGTCATGCCTGTGTTGCTGTGATGCTCGCAAGGTGCGTTTTGCTTTTTGGTCACCGGGGTCGGCAGCACGGGGGGGGGTGATAACGTGGTTACACTCTCTCTCGCAACTTGATACTTGAGGAAAAATAAATACACACACAGAATAGACTACCCATTCGAGATATACCCACAGCAGTCGAACGGGATGTGGTGGAGTCTTTTCAGTGAGTGGAGGGAAAACGGCTGGGTACTGGACTTATTTCGAGTATTTTTTAAGTCTATACACTGATGATTTATATCAGTGATGCCGGCTGGTACTAAGTACGAAAACATTTGTATAGGTAACTTACGTTTCACAATACATCCCCTGTAGTTCTCTGCTGGGTCAACGACAAAATATCGGGGAGAATCCCTCCGTTGTGCCGTGCATTGTAAAATGCAACCTTCACAGGTTCCGTGTCCCTCGTTGGCGACATAGCAATCGCTTGATCAAGGACTACTACTGCTGTAGGTACCGTGCCCACAAGCCCTATGTAGATCAAAACAGAGACAGCATCGCCATGGCGGACAACACCGCTGCTTCGCACGGTGCTGCCCGCTCTGCGACCTTGTTTCACAGGATCAAGGATCTTCTCACGAATCTGGCGGTCATCATGATCCTCTTGCTCCTGCCGCAGGCCGCTGCCCTCCGACGGGCGCACGAGACGAAGAGCATGGTGTGAAGAGCATGTCGCAACACACCATGCTCTTCCTCCTGTGCTCCGGTCGGATGGCAGCGGCCTGCGGCAGGAGCAAGAGGATCAGGATGACCGCCAGATTCGTGAGAAGATCCTTGATCCTGTGAAACAAGGTCGCAGAGCGGGCAGCACCGTGCGAAGCAGCGGTGTTGTCCGCCATGGCGATGCTGTTACTGTTTGGATCTAGGGCTTGTGGGCACGGGTCCTACAGAAGTAGTCCTTGATCAAGCAACATGGGCCGGGGGGGTGCGCAGAGGAGATTCATGGAGGGATACCACGCTAATGTAGGTTTGGGTCGAATGAGGTTCCTCGTGAAACGCAAGGTGAAACGCAAGGCTTGATGCATTGCTACCCCCCCCTCCCCCCCTTCGATGTTTGCCATCGGGGTTGGGTTTTCGTCGCTTGGCAACGACGTTGTAAAACAAGTCGACCACTTCGTGAGCTCGGCAACCAGATTACCACTTTTTGTTTTTTTACCTTTTCTCATCTTCATGCCACCCTGATTAATGGTGAAGGGGGTGTTGGTGGCGGTGGCTGACTCCCTTCTCCCATCCCACAATCGTCGACCAGTTCCTACAGTAGAGAAATGCGCACCGTTTTGCTCATCTCTCCGCTTGGCCAACACACGTCCGCTGCCACATTTGTTTGTACCGCCGCCATCGAGCATGGCACGTTCGATACACGCACCTGCTGTACCGGTACATGTACTCTTCTTGGGTCGTGACAAAAGACACAGGCATCACTATTAATAAGAACTAGGCAAGTGTTTCACATACATTCGCGGTTCCGGCCGGTTTCCGTCCACTCACTGTCACTATATCGACTCGAGCACACCCCCGTTCGACTGCTGTGGTGTAATCTCGAACGGGTACAAGTAGTCTCTCTTTGATTGTATGTATTACATAGTAGTCTTTTTTTTTTTAGCTGTTAGTGGTATTTTCCTGTCATGCCTCGCTACACTTGAAACCCCCCCCCCTTGTTCGCAGAAGAAGGAGGTGAAGAACGAGGGCGTGAAGAGGGCCGCCGAGGCCTCCGCCATGGCCCAGCAGAGCGGCGAGGTCCTGGTCACGGACAAGCCGCCGGCGGAGAAGATCAACCAGGAGGAGCAGGAGGAGGGCGCTAGCCGCCCGGCCAAGCGGAGCAAGGGGGGAGACGAGGAAGACATGGAGGTGGTCGGCACGACCGGCACGGCGAAGCTGCCCCACAACCGCTTCGCCTGCACGGAGGTGAGGTTGGAGTGATTAGGCCGCCCTCGCGAGAAATTACACCTAACCATAACCCTAACCCTTCAGTTTTAATCATGAGGAAATAGAACAGGGAGGGGGTACGCAGAATCTATCACCCCCTAACCCAACTTCCCCGATTGCATGCTTTATCCAACATGTTTGTTTAATCGAGAAACCCTGCGAGGGCGCTTCTGGATTGATTATTCGTAGCTCGGCTGGTGCCCTCCCCCCGACCCGGTGTACTGCTGCTCCGTCCCGGCGCATAGTGTAGGGATGCGAGGTCTAACGACTACGGGATGCGTTTAACACGGGTACCCCCCTCCCCCCCCCCCATGGAAAAGGCTACTCGAATAGAGTTACACTGGTGGTTTGAGCGAGTGCTCGAACAAGCGCCACCGGATGGCGTGAAAAACAAACGTGTTGATCGTTCGATCATTTCGGTGCCACGCCGAAATTTGTAGTTCGACGCCTCCGTTAAAACGCAAACCCGTCGGCCAAGTAAAAAACGCGTCTGTTTGCTTTTGGCTGAACACCCCCAACCCATGGCATGTCTCGTTTGGCAGAGGAAGGGCAGAGACGACGACCAGCTTCTGGTTCATGCTTGTGAAACGTAGATACCCTGGACCGGCGAACAACCTGGTAGGTATGCCGCTCCGTCCCGCCATGCGAAGCCAATGGTTCACCGACTTAACAGCATGCGTTTATAACATGAGTACTGCCGTACATAACCCGGGATCTGTGTGTGTGTGTGTGTGTGGGTGTGGGTGTGTGTGTGTGTTTTTGTCTGCAGCACAAGTTCGACGGTCCGCAGGGGAGCAGCGGCCACAAAGAGAAGTGCTCCCTGTGCTTCTGCTACGTCTGCGACCTGTAAGTTACTATTAGATGCTTTTCCGGCGGCAGACACGTAAACATGTAGGTCGTTAATTGGCTCCCGCAAAATAAGACAAATTTTGTCGAGGAAATAAGGCTCAATTTTTCACGAAGAAAACGGGTTGAGAGAACGCAGCTATTTTCTCGGCCGAGGACCCTACAGTAAATTCAGTACAATGTGCTCGGCGGGACGAACTAAGAAATTCAGCCTCGACTCGAAAATGGCGTTTCTTGACTGCGGGCCCGCACTGCTGTATACGGCTTCCTCGATTCAACCGTATGGGTTAGGTTTAGGGTTAGGGTTAGGGTAATTCACCGTTGCCTTGTCTCGCCGACACGTGTGTTCGAAAGGTTTCGTGGGAGCCTCGACTCTGCTTCTTTTTTCCGTTTTTTTTTTTTGGAAGTCGTCGTCGCGGCCAACTGGTGTGGGGTATTGACGGCTGTTGTTTTTCCTCTTTTTTTTTTACGAGTCTTTTGCTGCGGCCGTTCGTCTGCGTTGCGCGGGCCAAAGACAAGCCTGTTGGCGATCGGGTGCCTTTTCGAGTAGCCCCCCCTTGTTTCAAGGTATTACGCGTTCCCCCCTCGCTGCTTGTGGGCAACTGTGCCCGCCGCAGTTTTCTCCACTTTGACGAACAAGTCTTTCTCAACTCCGAAATTTTGAAAAATTGAGCATGCACCCTGCACATGAGCCGCATCTCAAAGCCAGAGTGTTTTAAGCTCTCTCGTTTGCGGCAACAAAAGGTAGCCCGGGGCGTTATTGTTGTTTTCTTGTTCTTGACCCGATTGATTTTCAGGCCGGCGAGCGAGTGCCTGGCGTGGGGCGACCACTGCCACGCCACGGACACGGGCCCCATGAAGTCGTCGTGGAAGCTCCTCCGCGAGCGAGCCAAAGCCTACCTCCGTGCGGGAAAGCCGCCGCCTATGATCGCGAGCGTTTCTTCAATGACGGTGAGAAGCCCTTCTTTGTTTTCCTTTGCGTGCATCCAGCATGGCCTTAAGGTTGTTTTTTGTGGAGGGGTTGGGGACAGGGATACGATACCCCCCTCTCTATTCCAAGGTCAATGATAATAGGTAGGGTTGGGGATTGGGGTGCGATTGAGGTGCGAACCCCCCCTCTCTATTCCATGGGTAAATTATGACATGGGGGTCCCGTGCACCTCACCCCACTACGCCTCCCGAGAAGGGAGCAGCGAACGTTTTTTTTTGTGCACGGCCGCTTCTGGCTCACTCTGCCCGCTGTTGACGCCTGTCCCATTATTTCCATCCTGTGCCTCTCGCAGCCAACGCCCTACTCCGTC